ATGTAGACTTAATAATGTTTATTTGAACACAGAAAAGTTGGTTTTCTTCGCGTAATTGGAATGAACGAACTTGAAGAAGATTTCCGGAGGGAGTGGGGGAAAAAATTACCCATTTGCATGAGATAATCAGAACCAGTCTCGATCAGCAAAATTTGATCATACCTAAAAAGCAAGACACAAACTTTTGATGCGACAACGAGAAAATTGAGTGTAAACAAATACAGCTTCACCATTTATACGTTAATCTTTAAATTGACAGCCTATTATATAACTGCTCAAAATACAGTCTCAAAATACACAGAGAATAAAATATTGAAGTTTTCAGAATAAATACGAAAAGTCAACAAATTATATATATATAATTCATTTAAATGATTGCTAAAATAATCAACCTGTACAGGTTGATTATTTTAGCAATCAATTGAGTCTTGTTATCTTTATAACCTTATTAGGTTGTTTTTTTTCGTCTTGATTCTTTGTTATTAAGTATCGTCTGCTGCAACTTGTAAACCCACAACCTTTGCCCCTTCATGTCTATACCCTCAAAGGTTGCCAACAATATAAATGGGAGTGTGGTCACCTAATGGTTATGGTGTCTGCCTAACAACCTAGGATTCATGGGTTCGAGCCCCATTGCTGTCATGATCATGATTCCTAATATAATACCAAGTATTAGTTTGTTCCGGAAGCTGAGATAAAATCAATTCAAAATAAGCTGAAAACTTTTTTCACAATCGTGTTTTAAACTTACAATGTTCTCGACAATTTTTTTTATACTTCTTTTATTGTAAATTTCTTATGGCCTCATGTATCAAATTAATGTTTTAACATGTCTACAAGAAACTCTACAAAAACCCGTACAACCGATAAAGCAATAACATTACCAATTCTAATCAATCGTAATTCTAACTGTCTACAGGTTTGTACGCAAAAAACGAAGTATCGGTTACCTCATTTCATGAAATAATCAGTATAATTTGTTCATAAATCAACGCTACTCCATTACAGCGGTTCTGTACACTTGCTTCCCAGCTTCGATTACAGTATTTCAATAAACTTGCTCCCGGCTCCAGAAAAAGAATTGATGGTCTCCGGTAACAAACAACTGACAGGTTTCTTTTAACTACATCAATGATTTTATTTCTTACTTGGTTCCCAACTGTCAAAATATCAGGGGTAAAGTCATAAAACATTGGTTTCTTCAAGAATTGGATATACATAAATAATATGTTCAATTAGAAAATTGGGCACTAACTGGAGAAGCGGAAGAAATGTAAAGGATTTTCTGAGACAGTTTTTTTTTAATGTCTTTGTAAAAGAAATTATATCATGTACTAAGTACAAGACCTCTGTAAGATGAAATGGAATGGCTTTTAATAAATTTCTCCTGAAAAAAGTTCTAAAAATATTGTACTAAAGGGAGTTAACCATCCAAATACTTTTTTTTTAATGTGTATGGGGGGGAAGGGACAGATAGGGAGGGGGTGGTAGGTCTATATGCAACATCCCTGTTTGTAGTGTTTTATCCTTATTGTCGCTGAATTGGTAATTTTTCAAAATTCTATTAAACATTGTCATAAAATTAATGAGTAATCTTTTGGAAGAAAATAAAAATCTCTTAAATTTTCAAAAATGAGCGTCTTTAAATAAATTATGGAATACTTAGACAGAAACAGACTATGTATGCAAAAAAACTATCCTTTCACCTTTGCAAAAAAAGATCTAAATCATTTTTTTGGATCAGACAAAGCTATAAGAAGAATTGTTCAGGAAGACAGGAACCATGACTAAATTAGATAATTTCAGCTCTTCCCTCACTGCCAGACAGCCTAATTTGCATAAATAATCTGTAAATGAGCTATTCTATAAAACTAGAAACTGAGGTTTATACATTTTTATCCAATTTGAAAATTTCCATGTCAAACCTTTTGCCTCCTAGCAGCTATTGATTCTACCTATGCAACCACTGCAGACCAAGATCAGCTGGCAGGCACAACCTTGCTGGGACAAGAAATGATTTAGATCTATTTATGTGTTAAAAACCTCAAAATATAAACTGACTGAATAGTAAGAACAGTGCAGACCATGATAAGATGTCACTGATGTGCCAGCTGATCTTGTTCTGCACTTGGTTGGATGGGCAGATCTTGTGCCACCAGCAAGTTTAGGATTATAAGCCAAAGATATGGATTTTAAGCCAAAGATATGGATTATAAGCCAAAGATAAGGATTATAAGCCAGATATATATCTGGAGCAAAGCAAGCCTTCATTCCTTGATATCTGACCAGATTCTATACTGTCAACTACTGAATCTAATAATTTTGATATTGAAATCCCTTAAAAAATATAAATGGACAGTTCTACATTCAAACAGGGCTAATCCAATATTCAATGTTGAGGGTGGGGTGAATATTTAACTTCAAACTACTCAATTTTAATGTTGCTTATGATTTCTATAGAAACTTTTCAAATACTTCACAGTCATCCTTTATTAAGAAAGTTTTTCATGGTCATATACAGTACTTATAATAAAATTAAGACACATTGTGACAATGAAGACAAGGAGGTCCAAGAAACTATTCCCTTGGTATGAATGAGATATTTGGTCGACTTGAAAGCTATTTTTCAAATATTGTACTCAGAAATAACCTAATCAAACAAGTAATTTATCATTTTGTCTCTCCCTACAAAGTTCTAAAACGACAAAAATCTTCATGAAAACTTCAAAACGCTTTTCTAACAGAAAGTTTTGCCTGAAGTCATGTAGACTTAATAATGTTTATTTGAACACAGAAAAGTTGGTTTTCTTCGCGTAATTGGAATGAACGAACTTGAAGAAGATTTCCGGAGGGAGTGGGGGAAAAAATTACCCAATTTGCATGAGATAATCAGAACCAGTCTCGATCAGCAAAATTTGATCATACCTAAAAAGCAAGACACAAACTTTTGATGACAACGAGAAAATTGAGTGTAAACAATACAGCTTCACCATTTATACGTTAATCTTTAAATTGACAGCCTATTATATAACTGCTCAAAATACAGTCTCAAAATACACAGAGAATAAAATATTGAAGTTTTCAGAATAAATACGAAAAGTCAACAAATTATATATATATTTCATTTAAATGATTGCTAAAATAATCAACCTGTATTTTTTATTTACAATCAATTGAGTCTTGTCATCTTTATAACCTAATTAGGTTGGTTTTTTGGTCTCGGTTCTTTGCTATTAAGTATCGTCTGCTGCAACTTGTAAACCCACAACCTTTGCCCCTTCATGTCTATACCCTCAAAGCTTGCCAACAATATAAATGGAGTGTGGTCACCTAATGGTTATGGTGTCTGCCTCACAACCTAGGGATCATGGGTTCGAGCCCCATTGCTGTCATGATCATGATTCCTAATATAATACCAAGTATTAGTTTGTTCCGGAAGCTGAGATAAAATCAATTCAAATAAGCTGAAAACTTTTTTCACAATCGTGTTTTAAACTTACAATGTTCTCGACAATTTTTTATTCTTCTTTTATTGTAAATTTCTTATGGCCTCATGTATCAAATTAATGTTTTAACATGTCTACAAGAAACTCTACAAAAACCCCAGTATAACCGATAAAGCAATAACATTACCAATTCTAATCAATCGTAATTCTAACTGTCTACAGGTTTGTACGCAAAAACGAAGTATCGGTTACCTCATTTCATGAAATAATCAGTATAATTTGTTCATAAATCAACGCTACTCCATTACAGCGTTTCTGTACACTTGCTCCCAGCTTCGATTACAGTATTTCAATAAACTTGCTCCCGGCTCCAGAAAAAGAATTGATGGTCTCCGGTAACAAACAACTGACATGTTTCTTTTAACTACATCAATGATTTTATTTCTTAGTTTGTTCCCAACTGTCAAAATATCAGGGGCAAAGTCATAAAACATTGGTTTCTTAAAGAATTGGATATACATAAATAATACGTTCAATTAGAAAATTGGGCACTAACTGTAGAGAGGCGGAAGAAAACTAAAGGGTTTTCTGAGACAGTTTTTTTTTTAATGTCGGGTTTTCTGAGAGTTTTTTTTTAATGTCTTTGTAAAAGAAATTATATCATGTACTAAGTACAAGACCTCTGTAAGATGAAATGGAATGGCTTTTTTAATAAATTTCTCCTGAAAAAAGTTCTAAAAATTTTATATTCAAGGGAGTTAACCATCAAAACATTTTCTTGAGCGAATGTGTTTGGGGAAAAGGAAAGGGGTGGAGGGGTGGTCAGTGTATATGCAACCTGCTTTTTCTTGGTCTTTCACCTTTATATTCATGTTGCATTTGATACTTTTCAGAATTATATTACACAATGTCATAAAATTAATAAGTAAACTTTTTGGAGAAAAATAAAAATCTCTTAAATTTTCAAAAATGAGCGTCTTTAAATAAATTATGGAATACTTAGACAGAAACAGACTATGTATGCAAAAAACTGACCTTTCACCTTTGCAAAAATAGATCTAAATCATTTTTTTTGGATCAGACAAAGCTATAAGAAGAATTGTTCAGGAAGACAGGAACCATGACTAAATTAGATAATTTCAGCTCTTCCCTCACTGCCAGACAGCCTAATTTGCATATATAATCTGTAAATGAGCTATTCTATAAAACTAGAAACTGAGGTTTATACAATTTTATCCAATTTGAAAATTTCCATGTCAAACCTTTGCCTCCTAGCAGCTATTGATTCTACCTTTGCAACCACTGCAGACCAAGATCAGCTGGCATGCACAACCTTGCTGGGACTGCCGTCTGGTCATGATCTGCACTGTTCGCTATTTTGCCAGTGCATATTTTGAAATTTTCCCTAAAATTGGTAAATGGTTTAGTCCATATTAAAAGATGGGTGAAGTCCATTTAGGATATTTAGTAAGGGACGGGTTTAACTGACTTATACCATTGCTACAAGCAACCAATAAAAACCAGGATCATTCTAACACGTTTTGTTTTTTTTACCTTTTGTGACATTTTTCGAAGCTGCTCTTGTCACATGTATCTCAATAGCCACTGGTTTATTTACAATAGCAACACCATCATCTGTTTCTATGGTTACGGTTGTCAAGAAAGGTCCAACACTGGTATATATTGCCCATGTTGTGTGTACAACTCCAACAGGCAACCCATTGTTGCTGTTTCTGAAATAAAAGTACAAATGATTAAAATCAAGAGAGTCTTTGTCTCTTAGAAACATTTCTGCATCTCACAGACAATGTTGGGGGGAAGCAGGGTTGAAATGAGCACAATGCCAGGTCATTAGAAATTGAAATTTCAGAAATACTAAATATCATCTTAAAAGTTAAAATACAGATGGAGTTATGATGATGAACTAATATGAATTAATCATTACTATTTGTTCTATTCATACTATTTTTTTCTCTTACAAGTTTAAATAAGGTAAATCTTTCATTTAGTCTATTCTATTAAAAACAGTTTAATATTATTAAAGAACATGGCCATCCCCTCCCCAAAAGCCCCCTCCCAGCAAAAAAGCAAAAAAGTCCCCCCTGTGTACTTTATCAGTGATTTTAATGCATAAATTGGAAGCCATTTCACCATCGACAAAACGGTCTAAATTCACAATTCAAATTTGAAAATTCTCAAAAGTTGCGAAAAATTATTCGTTCTAGCTCAAAAACTATTCATTGAGTTTTAAAAAACAAAATAAATATTTTTATTCGGAAGAGAGTACAATAAAAGAAAAAGATATGTTTGTTAATGCGTTTTCTAATTCTCATACAGTAAGACCTAAGTTATTGCAAAAAACAAAAAAAGGGGGAAAAACATGCTTTATGGTATTCAAAGTTATTTGAATCTTTTTTATGTCTTTTTTTTTCTCCATTGAAACATATATATCAATGCTTTCATTGGAGATACACATCCCATTGTCTGCTGCAACAATATAACATAAAATGCCTTTCCAACTTTCATCTGTCAGTTGTTTCACATTATGGCAAACACTCAAAATTTAATGCACTTTAAACATCGCCATGGCAACCTGAAATATTTATTTTCTTCTATATTTTTTTTTCCTCAGGAAAAGCATTTTTTTGTGTAATATTCATGAACAAGCTTTTCAACTTGTTGCCCAGCTACAATTCATCATTCATCAAGTGCATTTCCCAAGAAATATTATGAAATATTACTAAAATTCAAAGTGTTTTTTTTCCTTCTTTCATTTCATTTTTTACAGCTAATCTAAAATTTTAAGATTTTTTATTTCATTTCATTTTTATTTTTTTCTAAGCCAATTTAGATTTTTTGTTCACTATTTCAAGGCTTATTCAAAATTTCAATGTCGTTGGACATTTTTTAGTTGTTATTTTCAACACTTATTATTCTACATTATTCATTTTATTGTTTTTTTTTTCCTCTTTCTATCACCATGCTTTAAAGCTACTCTCCCCCAATTTTTTTTTTTTGCTTTAAAAGATACTTTGCCACTCATTTTTTTGCTTTAAAGCTACTCTCCCACTCATTTTTTTTTTGCTTTAAAGCTACTCTCCCACTCATTTTTTTCTAAACATAACAGCATCAAGTGATAAAATTTCACCTCAGATTTTTATATCTACATTGAACTAAATGAGCTTCTTTAAGTTTTATTCTAGTATGATTTTATAACTATTGCAATGTTTTCTAATTTGTAAACATTACTGGTATGGGTCATTTGCTTTCCACAGTCCAGATATTCAAGAACATGCCATAGTAATGTCTGAAAATTTTATATGATTTTCAACAATTGCAACATTTTTTTATAAACATTACAGGTCTGGGTCAGTAACTTTAAGAGTGCAGATATTCAACAGTACGCCGAAAACATTGATCTAGCTATTTTGCATACATTATCTGGGGTTGGGGGTATGTCAATATAAAGACAGGGATATCCCCATTTTCTTTCTCTCTATTTTCAAATAGAGAGAAATCGAATACCTAAAGAAAGTACACAAGAGGGCCATGATGGCCCTGAAGTCGCTCACCTGTATATAGGCCCACAGAGCGGGGCCAGTTTAAACCCCAGGGCTTTTATTTGAACAAAATTGGTAGACACCTATTAGAAGATGTTTCATGCTAAACATCTAAGGTCTAGCTCGTTGAGTTTTTAAAAGAAAGATTTTTTAAGTTTTACTATACACATATAGTTAAAAGCAATGACATCCCTAGGGCGGGGCCAGTTTTGACCCCAGGGCTTTTATTTGAACAAACTTTGAAGACACTCACTAGAAGATGTTTCATGCTTAATATCTAAACTCTAGCTATTTGTTTTTATTCAAAGAAGATTTTTAAGTTTTTGCTATACACATAATTATATAAGGAAAATTAATGTCCCCCGGGGCAGGGCCAATTTTGACCCTAGGGCTTTTATTTGAACAAACTTTGAAGAAATTAATTGGAAGATGTTTCATGCTTAATATCTAAACTCTAGCTATTTGGGTTTTTTCAAAGAAGATTTTTTAAAAAGTTTTTGCAATACACATATAAGGAAAATCAATGACCCCTGGGACAGGGCCAATTTTAACCCCAGGGCTCTTATTTGAACAAATTTGGTAGACACCCATTAGAACATCTTTCATGCTAAGTATCTTAGCTCTAGCTCTTTGGGTTCTCTAAAAGAAGTTTTTTTAAGTTCTTACAAAATGCATATAGGGAAAATCAATGACCCCCTGGGGCGGGGCCAATTTTAACCCCAGGGCTTTTATTTGAACAAAGTTGATAGACACTCATTAGAAAATGTTTCATGCTAAATATCTAAGCTCTAGCTCTTTGGGTTCTTTAAAAGAAGATTTTATAAGTTTTTACTATATGCATATAGGGAAAATCAATGACCCCCTGGGGCGGGCCAATTTTGACCCCAGGGCTTTTATTTGAACAAACTATGTAGACACCCATTAGAAGATGTTTCATGCTAAATATCTTAGCTCTAGCTTTTTGGGTTTTCTAAAAGAAGATTTTTTAAGTTTTTACTATATGCATATAGGGAAAATCAATGAACCCCGGGGCGGGGCCAATTTTGACCCAAGGGCTTTTATTTGAACAAATTTGGTAGACACCCATTAGAACATCTTTCATGCTAAGTATCTTAGCTCTAGCTCTTTGGGTTCTCTAAAAGAAGTTTTTTTAAGTTCTTACAATATGCATATAGGGAAAATCAATGACCCCCTGGGGCGGGGCCAATTTTGACCCCAGGGCTTTTATTTGAACAAAGTTGATAGACACTCATTAGAAAATGTTTCATGCTAAATATCTAAGCTCTAGCTCTTTGGGTTCTTTAAAAGAAGATTTTATAAGTTTTTACTATATGCATATAGGGAAAATCAATGACCCCCTGGGGCGGGCCAATTTTGACCCCAGGGCTTTTATTTGAACAAACTATGTAGACACCCATTAGAAGATGTTTCATGCTAAATATCTTAGCTCTAGCTTTTTGGGTTTTCTAAAAGAAGATCTTTTAAGTTTTTACTATATGCATATAGGGAAAATCAATGACCCCCGGGGCGGGGCCAATTTTGACCCCAGGGCTTTTATTTGAACAAATTTGGTAGACACCCATTAGAACATCTTTCATGCTAAGTATCTTAGCTCTAGCTCTTTGGGTTCTCTAAAAGAAGTTTTTTTAAGTTCTTACAATATGCAATGACCCCCTGGGGCGGGGCCAATTTTGACCCCAGGGCTTCTATTTGAACAAAGTTGATAGACACTCATTAGAAAATGTTTCATGCTAAATATCTAAGCTCTAGCTCTTTGGGTTCTTTAAAAGAAGATTTTATAAGTTTTTACTATATGCATATAGGGAAAATCAATGACCCCCTGGGGCGGGCCAATTTTGACCCCAGGGCTTTTATTTGAACAAACTATGTAGACACCCATTAGAAGATGTTTCATGCTAAATATCTTAGCTCTAGCTTTTTGGGTTTTCTAAAAGAAGATTTTTTAAGTTTTTACTATATGCATATAGGGAAAATCAAAGAACCCCGGGGCGGGCCAATTTTGACCACAGGGCTTTTATTTGAACAAACTTGATAGACACTCACTAGAAGATGTTTCATGCCAAATATCTAAGCTTTACCTCTTTGGGTTTTTTAAAAGAAGATATTTTAAGTTTTTTCTATCGGTTGCCATGGCAACCAGAGTTCTGCAGGGAATTAAATTCTTTGAACAACTTTTAAAGGTGACCACCAAAGGAACATTCCTGTGAAGTTTGGATGAAATTGGCTCAGCGGTTTATGAGGAGATGTCATTTAAAGTAAAAGTTTACGGACGACGGACGGACGGACACCGGACGAAAAGCGATCACAAAAGCTTTGTGACAGGTGAGCTAAAAATGGTAAAATTGAAAATGTTGCAGCACAGTACTGGATAGTGCAAGCTTAATTGTCTAAACCCCCTAGCACCGGTTTTAGCAGTATTCAACATGTAATGGTAAAATTTTTAATTTAATAATTTCCGTAGATGTGCTCATATGGTGGTGAGCATGAAACCATTTGATTCATACTTTGAGATTTATTTCAATTACTGATGTGGGGAGGATTTTAATACATGAATACATGCACTTTATTGGAAAAGGTCACTACCACAGACAAAAAAAAATAGTACTGGTACATTAAAGTAAATAATGTCATTTATAAAGTAATCAGACTTGCAGAACAATGCACTAAGAGGAGCTGACACTAAATATCAGAGTTGTCAAGTAAAATTATTTGTGAATCACTCAGAAATGGATTTCCTGGTTACCGTGCAGAAAATATATTATATATACAGAACTCTAGGTGCAGTCAAAATCATTTCCGCAGGAAAAGTAAACACGTCTTATTTTCACTTTCACTCAATGATTTATGATTCATACACAATGTTTTCCTTTTCTGCTTTGATGTCAAAAAAAAGACGACCATCCAATGATTTTTTCCTTAAATATCTTTTTATGCTTTACTTTCTACCCTTTACTTTCTACCTTCAAAATCTATTTAATTAGATTAAGAATTTCTGAAAGAAAATTGTGAAGACAGGCAAGTTTCTTCACCGTGTACTTTCTCCTTCATTCCATAACGGGATTATTATGAGTACTACAAAATTCACAAAACTAGCTTCCCAAAGCGCCCTTGTACATATTGCCCCAGCTTTATGAATTAATCATTTTTAGCAAAATTATGGCTTTTCGTTAATTGTTTTCATACATAAAATTTATACGTAATATAACAGAGTAGTACATTTCTTATTTGATTATTACCAAGTTTTTACAGAACTATACTACGTTGTATTACTAACTCTGTATTCCTGGTACATTATTGCAAAGGTTTGTAATATAATCAATTTTGGGGGAAATTATGCTCTTTGTTGTTGCTTTTTCAAATGTCTATGTTTAGATCTGTTCTCTATTTCAGGGAGGAAATGTGTGTAAGCGGCCAGATAGCTCAGTAGGTAGAGCCACTGAATAGTATTTAGAAGGTCCCAGGTTTGAGTCTCGGTCAGGCTGCACATTTTCTCTTTGTGTGACACATACACGAGTAATAGAAGAATACTGTTCTGACAAGGCCTCTGACATGTCTGTAGGGATTTCAAACTTTTACTAATGGCAGAAAGTCTGATTTTATGATAAGTCCCGCCACTTGTTTATCAAAATCATCCTGTTTAAAGTGGCTTTTAAATATACCAATTTATTTTTTTAAGCAAGAAACTACCCTTGCATCAGGGACTTTTTTTCCCCATTTCTTGTAATGGATATAAAAACTTTCTTGGAGGGTATTTTGGAAGTTTAGGACAGCATTCCAGGTATATTTATGTACATAAAATAAAGATACACATGTCTTACTGCGAAATATCAAAAACATAAAAAATACAAAGCATTTTCAACACAATCAACAGTTTGTTCGGTTGTTTTTTTTGCAAAATATTTCTTGCATGTTTGCGCCACACAGCTCATTCTTGTTAATAAAAGATATAAATTCATCTCTTTTAAAGTTGTATATCCTGCAACATGAATGCTTCCAGTGAAATATTACGAGTCTTAAATTGAACACTTTCATGCACGAATATTGTACCACTTCAAACGTATCAATAATATCATTCCATCCTACGAGATGCTTTTAACCGGGGAAATTAGCACTCGGCGTTCAAAGAAAACTGCACCAAATGTAAAACGATAATCTAATAACTCAGACTGCTATCCATACTGCACTTTCAATCAAAGTCTGCGTAGATGATTTTATTTAGTCTTTTTTTTTGTGTTTTTTTGTTTTGTTTTTTTTTAAGAGAGGTGGTCGAGGGGGGGGGGGTCCAATTCATCTTGATTCTTTCACCAGAAAAATGAAAGTACAAAGAGTTTACTAAGTGTGAATCATTTACAAGATACTTTGTGACAATAAGATTCCATACTCATTCCTTACAACTTCTAGCAAAAACTTGTCAGCAATTAATTACGAATAAAAGACATATGTATGTCTAGTAAAGAAATCTCTTACAACAAATTTTTTTATATACAAAGTACTGATTGCAGTCAGTAACAATAAGGCAGACCAACAAGTCTCTCATTGTTGAAAGACAGTAACTTTTCTGTTTGGATAGTTTACTGCATCAATCATACAAAGATGTAACCATTTAAATACGCACTTCTAATATCAGACTCATTCTTTGCTTTGAATCATTAATAAATATGACACCTAAATGGGCCTTAAGAGCACACATCTGAGAAAAGTAAAAAGTTCCTGATTTAAGGGCTACTTCTGACTATGGAACATGAATTATTTAAATTTTGTATAGGTTCAATCTACACATACTTAGGTGACGTAAAATAACTTAATGTTTTCTTGTAGAAAATGTTTTTGACCCCAGGTCACTGTCAAGTTTTGGTTTCACTTATGAGATTTTTATCGATATTCTGAGCGGTACTTGTGATTATTATAAGTTGAGAATTGCTGCACTCCTGGACTGCAATGCTGCACTGCTAAAACCTGCTGCAGTATTGGACTTGCTGCAATATTGGACTTGCTGCACTATTGGACTAGCTAAGCTTCTTATACTTGCAGCGCTTCTTGGACTTGCTGCGCTCCTTGGACTTGCTGCAGTATTGGACTTGCTACAATATTGGACTTGCTGCACTATTGGACTAGCTAAGCTTCTTATACTTGCTGCGCTTCTTATACTTGCTGCGCTTCTTGGACTTGCTGCAGTAGTGGACTTGCTGCACTATTGGACTTGCTGCACTATTGGCCTAGTTACGCTTCTTAGACTTGCTGCTCTCCTTGGACATGCTTCTTTTCTGGGAAGCGAACCGTTCTAAGATTTGCTTCTTTACTGGGAAGCGGACTGTTACTAAGGCTCAACTCTTCACTAGAAAGCCGACCGTTTTCTAGACTTGCTGCTTTATTCGGTTCCTTTACTGGACCTGCTCACCAACAAGGAGACTTGCTGAAAATAAGCTTTCTGACAATATTTGAAGCTTCTTTTTTCATTTCCAAATTCATTTTATATAGATACACAACGCGCGAACCGGATAGAACGCCACAATTGTGACGTCACGTCAGAACAAAATAATACAAAAATTGCGAGCACTTGTGTTTCTATTTATAAATAAAATGGCTATTATGACAGTGATCCACATTCGAACTTGACCTAGAAATCATCAAAACAAACTTTCAGACCAATTTCCAGCATATTTGAATCAAAACAGTAGCAACTAGTATCTACATGATTTTTCTATTTTTAGCTCTTGTAACCTAGTTTTTAATCAGAGATGACCCATGTTCGAACACATCCCTGAGCTAGCTTAGGTGAGCTAAAAACTTGCAACCATGCCTATATTACAAACATTATTTAACATATACATCAAATGAAAGAAACCCTTGCACGGCACAACATCAACAAAAGTTAAAGTCATTTGTTTTGTTTGTATCAAAGACATAATTCATTTCTAATCCAAAGACATCATATTTTTATAACATTTCAGCCATTATATGATTTAATTATGTCTCATACAATAAAAATCAGATAAATGGTAATTACATCTAGAGATCTGCTTTATTGTATAAAACCTATGCTATAACACAAGTTCTGACAATTTATTTCACTTTTATGCTTAGAAAATATTCTTACAAATTGCCACAAAATGTTACCAAATTGCATACAAATATCCAGACAGTAAAATAATTGATGTGCAGATTTTCTTGTTTTTTTTCTTCTTCAGTGTTTTTAGGGTTTACAGGCTGAGGAACGACCTTGCATAATTTTTAGGCACATCAGCATCAAGTGAAATACACAATCAACCTTCCACAAACTGGTTGGATTGCTCCCTAACATGAAATAATGCAGAATACTTTGCCTGATTCTTAACCACAGTAGTAAGAGATAAGGTAAAGTGACTTGAAGTCAATGATCACAACTACTCCGGGACAATTGTTACAAAGCACCAACACAATTTAGGTCATATGGCGATGAAACAGGAATAATGATTTTGGCTATTCTTGGGTTTTATACAGCAACATACCACGGGTCAAAACCATCTCACCAGCTATAGCTGAGAGATGCATAGACTCCAGTAATTCAGACCCATCTTGCTTTCAATGTCAGAACATCAGGGCTGGGAATCAAAACTGCGTCGTATCCTACAAAATGTAAACAAATGCCGCCATCTTGGAACGAAAAACGTATGTTTTTGTTTATAACTCTTTTTGTTGGAAATGACTGAAAACCAGATATATGTATTAACACGCTACACTATTTTCCGCTTCGTTCGGTATATGTTGCTTGCACAACTATTTTGTAAAACAAAAGTTATAGCGAACTTGCAACTCGAAGCGGGGCAGAATTTTTGTGAAAAAAAGAAAAAAAGCGTTTGTTTACATTTTGTAGGATATGACGCAGTTTTGATTCCCAGCCCTGAACATTTGAACCCATCTTGCTTTCAATATCAGATCAGTTCAACAAGATCTCATAGAAAATAGGACCACAGAGAAGCTGACATTTATTTATTATTTATTGGTAAGTGTTGATACACAACAATCCCGAGTAACCATTCTATTCTAAATTTGTAAAACTATTTTAGGACATCATTGTCTTCACCTCAATAGCTGCAAATTCCAATGTATTGATATATTTCAGTTAAAACCTCACAAAAACATGAACTTCCTGACATTTTCTTTACAAAATATTTACAATGCAAATTCCAATGTATTTACAATGTATATATTTCAGTTAAAACCTCACAAAAACATGGACATTTAGATATTTTCTTTGTCTACAAACCTGAGTAGAGTTTGATGACAATTGTCAACATCATCAGATGAAATGTTTAAGCAGACACAACAGAGAGTAGACTGGGCTTTCAAATTTCTCGACTTTACTGATTGGTCTGCCACTACAGACTGTGCCCCATCTCTAGTAGTATAACCAGACTGTGTCACATATTTTCCTGTCACATTATTAGACTGGGCATCTTTGTTAAGAACATGGACATCATTCAGTTGAACACCAACATACAAAAATCTGCAAAAAAGTAAGGAAGAAATGTTAAATTGAATTTTCTATAGAATCACCTCATACGCACTTCTGGGAAGCAGCTGTGGGAATTTAGGAAGAGCCATTGACCATTTCATAAGTTCCCTTAAAAGTGTTTAAAAACGTCAGTTTTGCTACAAAATAAAATATGAATATAACATAAGGGCAGTGATGGTTTTTTAAATGGCCATTTTCATAAAAATTGTTCTTATTTTTCATACAGAATGCTTTATGAATTATTTTTTCACCTGTCATCATATAATAAAACTGAACAAACAGAAAGCATCATGAGATATCCCAATAAAACATTCAGGTTTTTTTTCAGGCATTTCAGCACAATGCCATGGCTGACAGCAGCATTAAGATGACAAGATTAAGTGTATCTAAACAATCACTGTGTAGAGTGATGTATGGTGGGCATTTAACATGATACAATTGTTTAAAATACACCAGTGTTTACACAGAACTCTTCTAGTAATATTAATCTGTCTTTAACCCACTAACGACCCACTCAAATAGCAAGACTAATGTCTCAAACACTGATAAGGGCACTTTTGGTATTCTGTATATCATCTTCACTATACATATATCATGTTCCTACCATACAGTCAAACCTGTTTATGAGCAGACATTTCTGGAAAAATATAAATCTCCTGGAACACATTCGGTAATTAAGTTTCCACACTTTCCAATTCATAAGACATACCACAAGAAGAAAGAAAGGTAAAACAAACAAACAATAACATAACACAAGAAAGAAAGAAAGAAAGAAAGAAAGAAAGAAAGAAAGAAAGAAAGAAAGAAAGAAAGAAAGAAAGAAAGAAAGAAAGAAAGAAAGAAAGAAAGAAAGAAAGAAAGAAAGAAAGAAAGAAAGAAAGAAAGAAAGAAAGAAAGAAAGAAAGAAAAGAAAGAAAGAAAGAAAGAAAGAAAGAAAGGCAAAACAAACACAAAAATAATATAACACAAAAAAGAAGGCAAAACAAACACATTTTAATCTAACACAAAATTAACACAAGGAAGAAAGGAAAAACAAACAAATGATAACAAAACACAAGAAGAAAGGGCAAAACATACAAATAATAACAAAACACAAGAAGAAAGGGCAAAACATACAAATAATAACATAACACAAAATTAACACAAGGAAGAAAAGCAAAACAAACAAATATTAACATAACACAAGAGGACAGGCAAAACAAACAAACAATAACACAAAACAAGAAAGAAAGGTAAATAAACAAATCATAAGACAAGAAAGAAAGGTAAATAAACAAATCATAAGACAAGAAAGAAAGGCAAATAAACAAATCATAAGACAAGAAAGAAAGGCAAATAAACAAAAATTAATTTCATATCAATGATGTATTGACACCATCAGACTTAAAGGTTATTTTGTTTAGATTGTTATTTTTTATTTCTTTTATTTTTACATCTCAGTGCCTTTAACAAACAATTTCAAAGCAATAAATCAACATCGAAATATCTCACTTGTAAGATGTGACAGAAATGGATCCTTGTGATTTAACAAATGGAAATAAACCAAGGCCACTTATTTAAATATATTCATTTAAATTACATTTTGAAACAATTCCTCACAACTTTAATCAGTCACATCTGAGTCTGCTTCCTGGAACTAACCAGAATTAATATATGAGCAAACATGGTCAGGAACTACGTAAGAATCAACACCACAGTCAGAAGGTTGAGAGGCAGATCCTTTCACAACTGAGCCATAGCTCTTATTTTGAAATAATCTGGTTCCCAGTTTTGGTTGGGTTTAATGTTGCACAAACACATTAAAGGTCATATAGCGACTTTCCAGCTTTACTGATGGAAGAAGACCTCAGGTGCATTTCAATGCATTATTTCAGGCACAAGTAGGCACCTGAGTAGAACCACCCATGTTTAGCCAGATAGCTTCCTCACATAAAGAATTTAGAATTCCTTGGGGAGATTCAAACCCACTGTGGTTAGGGGCAAGTGGTTTGAGTCAACAACCTTAACCACTTGGCCATGGATGTCCCTTCACAATTTTGCAATAACTTGGTGCCCAATTTTGACCATGAGAATTAGTCCCAATATAACATCCATCTGTTTTTCAGGATTGACACAAGTCTAAAGACAAATAAATGCATCAACCACATCCAAATTAAAAATAAAGCTTTTCCAGACCAAATAATATCTGATGTAGTTAAAAACTTTTTCTTGTATAATTAACATAGATGACTAAAAAAAGAAATTTTTACAATGTAAGGGAGGTAACATCTTCAATGTTGATAAGTAACTTAACAAGATTTCTCTCCCTTTGTTTAAACAAAATAATAGCTAGGATTTCAAAATCGATTGTTGTATTTATATGTTTCCAAAAGAAACATATTTTTGGAAACATATGTAACACAAAATAAGCTATTATTTGTTGAAATATAACATGGAGTTGCTTCTTTAATTGAAATTTTTCAACTGTTAATGTTGTATGTTGAATTCATTTTCATTGCAGCTAACAATACAGGGTTGTTATCAATGATTTTCAAAATCAAACACTATCGAAGTTTTTTGTTTTGTTTTTTACAGGAGGTTACTGAAAATATTTTTTCAATATATTTGTACAATTTGATCAAGGTCTAGATTAATAATTTACAATAGACAAATAATAGACAAAACTTCAGATCATTCACTAACTCATTTTTTCTTAATAATACTTTTTATCAAGAATAAAAAAACTTTTTAAACTCAAATCATACTAAAAATCACACAAAAAATTGATTTTCAATTAATTCTGTGCATATTTCTCCATTACATACCTCTTGGACACTTTTAACACTTTATTTCTAAGTGAACAAGTTGATCAAATTTCATATTTCTAGGGTTTTTTAACCTCAGTGGAGCTCCCTTTAAGGGACAAAAATGTAATGACTTAAACATGAATAATATATGTAATTTCTAGAATAAGATAACCCAATTTGTTTATTTAACTAAATTATCAAAGTGATTAAGTTATTCAAATACTTTCAGTGTATAAATAGTATTATTACAATCCAATGCCTCATCTTTTTATTTATAGTAAAAGTGCTTGTCAACTGAACCCTAGGAAGCCCAAAAGCGCCTCCAAGCAAGGACCAAAAATAAAAACTTGTTATACAACATGTTTGATGACAATATATCTCATTCTTGAATGGAAACCATTTTTTTTTCATATTTCAAGTAATAGTGACATGTACCATGATGCTAGCTGAACCGAAAGCAATCCCAAGTAGGTACTCCACATGAGCTGGCTATATACTAAGTTTTATTACAGTATCTCATTCCTAAGTTTGAGCCCAATATCTCATTCTTAACATCAGGCCTGTATCAGGCTTCGCGAAAATTGCCGGACCGTCGGACATGTCCGGCAAAAATCGGGCCAGTCCGATACTTTTTTTCCGAGTTCCAGACCTTATGTCCGGTACGAATACCGGGATATATCCAAGACCGATCAAGACCGTGTTTTCTCCCTTGAATAAAATAATGTAAAACGAGTTTTGATTCGCCGTTTCAGTATAAGTGTATCAAATTCTAGATACATAGGACTTTCAATGACCTTGAACTCGGAAGAAAATGTCGGTGTTACTGCATTATTACGATGGCGCTACACCAGGCTATCTTATGAAGAAAAAAAAAAGTGAAACAAAATCTTTAAAAGTTGCTATGTCTTTAAAAAACACAAAAGTATTACCATATACATATATTTGGAAAAAAAATCGGTCAGACAAAAGTTCCTTCGGTCAGACAAGAATTGAAAGTTTGTCTGATCGAATGTCAGGCAAATTTTTCAGCAGTTTCGCAAAGCCTGCTGTATCCTTGGAAAGCCAGAAAATCAAACAACCAACCAACTGACCAACAAACTCACTCCTTTCAAACCATTCAGACCAATACAGAATTTGCTAAATCTACCCTAGATAAAGTTTGCAGAAGTACATTCAGTGGAGATGGGCTAGTTTAGATCATGCTGTTCATGATATGTACCGTACTCACACAGGAAGACAATATATGGAACCTTCTAATACAGAAAGATTCCCTAGTACAAATTCTTTGTCGTAACTCACCAGAAGATTGACATTTTCCCCTCCCTGGCACAGACTGTTAATTTCAGTGTTGAAAAACCTAATGATCAAAAGCATTTGTCACAGATTACAAAAATCTGGAAACAAAGTGATCCCTTGGAAGCATTAATCACAACAAAATTACATAAGAATTGGAGACTCAGTTTGATTGAGTCTGTACATGAGGGATAATGAATACAAGACTCACTTGAGGCACTCAGAATGTTTGTTGATATAATTATTTTCCTTAGTAAGTGGTCAAGGAAGATGGCAAGAATATGTACAAAAGGTTATTTTCAGAATCTGACTATAAACCTTTCAACAGCTCATTTTATAATGAAAAACATTGTAATGGTGGTGATGTAGTAGATGGAAATGATGCAAACATAAGCCATCCCCCTCTGTTTCACTACTACACCAAACAGAATCAAAACTTCGGCACTCATATATGTTCAAATACTGGCTGCTTGCATGAAATATACAAAATGTAATGAGTGGACTGAAATACTTTTGTGTTGATTCAAAACAAAAATTGTCCAATCTGACTGTTTGTCTGAATATTGCCTCTAGGAAAAAGAAACAAGGGCCAACTTCTTTTCATTTCAGCAACCATGTCAGTTGTTTTTTACAAAAACCATACTGGTTTTTAGTTGCGACTGTTAAGTCATTGATATATGCCAGAATATACCTATGAATTCACAATCTTTCACCCCGAGTCTCACTCTTTTCCTAGAGAAATAATAGTCTCACACTGACTTACTCATTTCTCACACCATTACCTTAGGGGCGATGCAAGTTTGGAAGTTGCTGGCTTTAAACATAGTGTCTTCTTCATATACTGGTACTATACCCATTTCTAAAGATAACCTACACTATAAATATGAGGATGAGTCTTTATCACAGAGGCTGTCTTCAAGAAGGTTATAATAATGATATTTGATCTGGGCCTAAAGCTTTATTAGTGTTTTGACCTGGCAGGAGTTTGTTTAAGCTAAGTTCATTATATATCTTACCTTCTATCAAAGCAATTCTTTGAGCACTCTGCAACAGAGTCAACATCATTAAAAATTTCACTATCCTTGTACTGTTCTATTTTATGGCTGTTTAAACATCCTCTGTACCAGGTGTCTTCCAAATCTGAACAAACAAAAATACACTTTTATACAAAAATACATACCCATTGGCTCAACCCATTCCAACCCTATTGACAGCCAAGAAGCATAAAGAAGCTTTTATCATTCAATAATCAGAGCCATATATTAGGCATCAAAGAATATTTGGAGACATAAGGTGTCCCACTAGCCAGGGAAACTGAAAGTTAGTAGATGGAAGTAATACAATTTCAGAATTTTTGTACAATTTAGGTAGCCACATGCAGCCACAAATCATTACCTAAGCAACATTTTCACAGTGTTAGTGCCCAATATCATTTACAGCCCTTCCAGTAAGTTTCAAAATTTGAAATTTGAAAAAGTCAGAGACTGTAAAATGTCTGACATTTGAAATCACATCAAAAAGGTAAAGAAGGAAAGGCATTATAGTCACAAACCAAAATAAAGGAGTAAATGACTCCCAAACTTGCATTAACATAAGCCCTGCATTTATAATACAATCTGAACTGTGTTTTACAAATTTTGCAGATACTAACATGGCCTCTTAACATAAAGAACCTAATCTCAAACCCCTTCAAGTATCTCTAAAATTCTACTGTTTAGTTTAGCCAACGAAGTGATTGTTATATGACTATCACATGACAATGAAGTACCCTACACGATGCAGTTACCTGCTTTAAGATATTTTTGTCTATAATAAAATTATATTCATTTTCAATAGTTAATGGTGTATTTATGAGACTTACAAAGATAGTAGCAATTTGTATGAAATTGCGCTAAGTAATAAAATATGTTATGTAAATATTTGTTCCTATGCACAGTTTTCATTTGACATCAGCAGTCATGTCTGTCAGAAACTAAGCTTTTACGCACACAAGTCTGAACTTCAGGAAATCATAGTCACTTCTAGTAAAAAAATAACAGCACATGAATGAAAGGTTTGAGAATAGGTTGAGTGTGAGATGATAGCCTCTGCTATGTAGATCTACCATGCATTTTAAATTGAATTGAAAAAGAAAATTTTATAAAGTGTGGGTAAATTCCATTCTTAGTTGTTGGAATTCCAGCTTTCCTGATTTGTCAAGCTTAGTTTTCCCCTTCAGAAAGCCACAGGTTGTTTTGGAAATTGAAAAAAAAAACTCAATGAATCCAAGTTTGAACTTGAACACAATAAATAAATTGAATCTTTGATACCTTTAGAACACACTTGTAGAAAAAAGCCCACCACTATGACAGTAATTGTATTCATTCTTCGTTATTCCATCTACCTCGCATAATTCTAGCTACGAGTGGCCTGTAAAATTATGTTACAATAACAAATATATTCATGCTTTTTGTCACTTCCTGAAAAGTTCACGAAGTTTTTCGACAGGTTGCCTGTATTCCTACTCGTTGGCACTATCTTTTACCAAGGAATGAATTAAACTCAGTTTAAACTCATGTTTCTGGAATTATTTCGAAGGAATACAAAAGGCATATGAGCTTTCCTTATAAATTATCTTTCTCATCTAATATTAATCAATTTTAGAAGCGTATACAACGGGTTCTTTTTTTTCAGACCAAATTATGTCGCGTATTTATAACAAGATCTACCTGAGTAATTTGGTACAGCAGCATCATTTTACCTTTGACCCAAAGGTACTGGCCAATCAAAAACCGTCTATATACAGGTTAAAACCTGTAAGCGATGCGTGTTATACCGTACATTCATTTTGGTTCCAATAGACCAGCATGCGTGTATACTATGACATATCAAAACTATGACGAAAGATAACATAAGATAAGATAAGTTTTATTTCAAGTCGGCAAGTTTTCAACAGTACAACATAAGCTCTAGGAGCTTTTATAACCGACTGTATATAACATAAAGTATAAGATCAACAGAGATAAAACAGCTACAATAAAAAAATGATTAGACATGATATATATACATCACATACATAAAATATACCTTTTTAGATATTTTTATAAAAAAGAATCAGATGCTTAAAATAACTAAAATGATAGTTTACCCAGTTCTACACCACTAGCTTGTATATTAAACTATGCTTACAATGTCTAGTATCTAAAATTTTACTTAAAGTTCAATAATATACCGATTAAACAGTTAAAAATTTAATGAAAAAAAAAAAAAAATCACAAAATAAAGCAACATCCTATCTAGAAACTAAATGATAATATTAACATAAGCAGGAATCATGCAGGGAAGAAAAGCAAAAACACATTTAAAGCATAAAAACTGAAGAAACTAAATAATAAATGAGACCAAAAAAATGTTCATACCCAGATTAAATAAATAAAGGTGGAGTAAATAAAGAAATAGAAGTTAGCTGCGAGCAATACATTTACACTGTTTACCATTCCAGGATGAAATTAACTTTTTAAACTGAGCAAAATTTGAACATTTTCTAAAATTGTCAGGTAGAGTATTCCATAAAGCAGGTGCAGCATACCTGAAAGATTTTTTACCAGTAGTTGTAGTTCTTACTTGCGGGATCTGCAAAATATTTGAATATTTAAAATCTATACCAGATGTTTTCTTGACAATAAGGTCAGACAGAACAGCAGGAGACATATCATGAAAAATTTTAAAAGTTTCAATGGCCATAGCCCTCATTCTTCTTATTTTTAGAGTTGGTATATTAACTTTTATCAGCATATCTTCATAACTTGAATTAAAATCATTATAGACAAATCTAAGTGCTCTTTCCTGTAGTTTTTCCATCTTTTTAGTATTATTTTCTGAACAGAATTGCCATGACATAGGACAAAAATTAAAATTGGACAATATAAAAGTATGAAAGATTGTTAACCTATTTGTTTGATTTAAATTATGACCTATTCTTTTGAGGATGTTTGACTGATTAGCAGCTTTTTTACATAATTATATTGCTTATGTGAAAATTAAAATTTAATTGTTGATCAATGTCGATGCCAAGGAGTTTTACAATTTCGTCACATGTTATTTCACTTGTATTAATTTTGAAAGCTGGGGATTTAGTGAAAGTTTTCTTCCCTACAGCAATAGCTTGAAATTTATCAGGGTTAGCTTGCATTTTATTGAAATGAAACCAATTTATAAGATAGTTACTTTCTTGTTCTAAGGTACATATTAGTTCATCAAAATGTTTAGTCCGAAAAGAAAGGGTATTGTCATCTGCATAGTTATATAAAGTACATTTTTTTATAAAGAAAAATATGTCATTTATGAAAATATTAAACAGTAGAGGGCCCAGGATTGATCCTTGAGGGACACCTTTGGATATATTAGCCCATAAACTTACAATATTGCCTATTTTTATTTGCTGTTTTCTGTTTGACAGATAAGACTGCATGAGGTTGGTGGCAGGGCCTGATAAGCCATATGCTCTTAACTTATCTAAAAGAATGTCATGTGGCAGACAGTCAAATGCCTTAGATAAGTTCATCAAAATTGCTGCCACATATTCATTGTTGTCCAGGGCCTGTCTCCAGTCCTCAAGCAGTCTTAACAGAGTAGTTTGACACCCATGGCCTTTCCTAAAAGCACATAAATAATTGTCAAATATATCATCAAAAAAAGCAGAGAGCTGATCAAATAGTACTTTTTCAAAAAGTTTAGATGGAATAGGTAATAAACTGACTGGTCTATAGTTAGATTTGGTCATAGCGTCATTTTTTTGAAAAGTGGTTTTACTTGTGCTTGTTTTAATTTAGTAGGAAAAACATGTGATTTAATTGAGATGTTAATTAGATTTGTCAACGGTTCAACTAATGATGGTTTACCTAGTTTAATAAATTTTGCTGAAATTTTATCCGCCCCTGTGGCCTTTTTAACATTTAGATTATTTATAAGTTTAGATATATTTACCTTGTGATGTTTGTTCAAAGCTAAAGGCATCTTGTAAATAATTTCTATCATTGATTTGAGCAAAGTGACTTTGCATGCAATTATGCTTAAATTATTAACTTAAATTACAAATATACTATGCAAAACTTCTGACTCAGATAGATGATTATCAATTATTTATTACGTACGTACTGTACACAAATAAATTATATAATACAGAAGAGGCATGTAATCATTTCTAAACAAGTTGCATAAATTTATCAACATAAATTTAATAGAAAACTTAATAACTCACTAACGTATTCGTTTTTGTTCTGTCAGTTGGGATTATGAAAGTCATATTACGAGGTTTTCCCCCATCACGAGGATAGATGAATATATATTATCATATTTTTACGGTCTTCTAGCTTCTCCTTTTTTAGGTATAATTAACTTAATTATAATTTCTTTATTATCTCTTTGTTTATTCTGTTTACCAGCCCTTGGAAATACTGAAACTTATGAGTGTGCTATTAAAAATTAAAAAAAAATCAATCGATTTTTTTCTAATTTTCACGAACTACTTTATAATAAACAATAAAGATGCATTGTCGCTTTTTATTTAATTTCTAAAAAAAACGTGCGCCGATATAGAAATCAGATAATAAATGTTTTATGAGAAAAAAAACATAAAAAAAATCACGAGCATGTACATGTATTTCAAACATGTGCGCATTTAAAAATGACCAGGCAATCTCAAGTGCAACATGGTAATTGCGTATCGTTAGGCTTAGTCAAGGGTAGAGATTTAATTATGTCAGTAACTGATGAGGTCAATGTGCCTTTTTTGTTTGTTTTTAATGCCTCACAATTTCTCGGAAATAAATTTTAGCTTGAATTGGTATACAAAAGAAGAATCCATTAACGTTAAAAACTGTTTTCTTTTTTTCTATGAAAGGATTCTCTCTCTTCTTAATCAGATCTTTGCTAGCCTATGTATTATTTTTCTACCCATATCAAACTTTTTGTGTATCATCATGACATGTTGTCATTTTTTTGTGAGCTGATATGAAAATAAAAATATTTTGACTCCACTTGACTTGACTTTCCAGATGGTTGGTATACTAGATACTATAACTCCTGTTAACGCACTCTAAAAAAGTGCAAGTTTTATAATGATTTATTTTTTTATTTCATTTCCCTTAAACCAATGCGCTCATTTTTCCAACAAAAACCCAAAAAGGGGCATTTAAAAAACTCCCAAAACTCAATTTTTTAAATTTAAAATATGGGATTTTAAAATATTCCAAAAAAAAAAAATCCCCCCGGGAAAAATATTTTCATAAAATTTTTATTCAAACCCCCACTGAAAAATTTCCAAAAGGGGGGAAATTCCCTTTCCCCAAAAATCCAAAAAAGAAAAATGGGTTATTGAAAAAATTTTTCCCAAATTTTTTTTTAAAATTTAAAATGTTTTTTAAAAAAATTTTCAACTTACCCTGTGCCCTTTACAAAGTCTTCTCCCCTTCAAAAAATTTTTTGGGTTTAAGCCCCACATTTTGGCATCCCGCGGATATTTTACCCAAAATTTTTTTCTTTATGCCCCAAGTTTTGAATTTCCCTTTTTATAGGGGGTTTCCCCTTCCGTTAATTTTCGAAAAATTTATTTTTTAGAGATTTTTATTCAATTTTACATTTTACGCTTTTTAAAGGGCTTAAAAAAAAAAGTTTTAAATATGACGCTTTAAAAAAAGAAATTTTTCCAAATGTCCCTTGGGACTTTACAACATAATTATTTTAAAAAACAGCAAAATTTAAATTTAAAAGGGTTCTGTGAATTTTTCTTTTAATTTTTTCCACCGCCTTATTTTTTGATTTTTTCTTTTTATATTTTATATTTTTTTATCTTTTTTAAACCACCATTTTTTTTTTTTGGGTGAAGGGATTTAAAATGTGTTAAAAAAAACAGGTTAAAAGACATATTATTCAAATAAAAAATTGGAAATTTTTTAAATTTTGTAAAATGCATAAAAATGGTTTCACTTTAAAATTTATAAAAAATTAATAAATTTAAAAGAGTTTTATGAATAAAGCCTCGATAGTATAAATAAATATATTTGCGAAAGTTAAATCGAAAGCAATATATTCTACATTATACAACCGAATCAAAATTCATTACAGAACAGAACATAATCTTAAGTCTAGTTTCGAAACGAAAGTACTAGAACAAAGAAGATGTGTTTCAATTCATCAACAACACACCTGTACAATCAAAATTGCCAAATTGAAGGAGAGCATCCATGTATATGTAATAGAAAGAGCACCGAAACACGAGGCTATCTGATTTGTACGAGGGGGCGTAGCCCCCGAGTACAAATCAGATTGCCGAGTGTTTTGGTGTTCTTTCTCTTTTGTATCATAGTCAAACATGACGTACAGCACGTTCCCTGTTGTCATAATATGAAACCCCAGAAACAATTAACCAATGAACGAGCGGTCTGAATATGATATTTCTTGCCCCTTTCCCTTTCCCTGCCGTCACAATAAGTAAAACCTCAGCAAAAATGAACCAATCAACGGGCATTA